ATAAGTGGGTAGATGTGAGAAGGACAGAAAAGGAACGGAAAAATACAATGTTTTAGGAGCAAGGGGTATTTAGTACATCTTTGAGCATCTTTGTTCCATTTGAACTGCCCCTTCTCTCCAAAAAAAAATTGCAACGATAGTTGGTTAAGGTACATGTATACATGCAATGAGTTGTAATCCTAATAGCCACACGACAAGCATTTTATAATATATAAAACATAAATCAGTCAAATACCAGTGACAATTTTAATTCCATGAACGACTTACGGAGAGCAGGAAACAATTTTTGTTTAAAGTGCTTTGCGTGGAAGCATCCTATCCAGAGGGTAGATTTAAAAGGCATTATGGATTAGAAATGCGGAGTATAACATAGACTCGCAACGAGTTAGAGAGATGATAATGATTTGAAACTTCCTAATCCCCTAGTTCTGTCGATAATGGCAGTATTTTGCTGCCCATTTGTTTTTTTGTTCATTTTGTTTATTAAAAGAAAAATAATGATAGTTTGCACAGAGTCATGGTGGCAAAGTGACAAAGTGACGTTTATGCCTATTATGGAGTTTTTGTTTTCCTTCAAATGATTATAATAAATACGAGCGTTATTTCTCAGAATACAAGCGAAGCATCTAGTTAAATGGCAATGACCAAGCGTCCATCTACACTGGGTGGGGGCGCTAACATCAGAGAGGGGGAAAATACGGGTTATATAAAGCCAGCCGATTGGGGAGTTTCCTTTCATCTTCTTCTAGCTATCGATTTGTATATATCCATCTATATAGGTAGATGGAAAAGTAATCTATAGCTAGATATAAATATATATTTATCTATATTATCAATGATAATAATTATATGTGATCGATTAAACTGAATATAAATATATATTCATCTATCCATATTATCAATACGAATAATTGTGTTTACCCAGAGACTCCATATCAGCATTAGCTGTTCTTCATGAGGGTCCTACAATTAGTTTTCACCCATCAATTGCCATACCCATTTACACTTGGGTTGCGAGTTGCAAATGTGGATTTTAGTGCCTTGCCAAAAAGTCGTTACTAACGGGCTGAGATTCGAACCCTCAACCTTAGGGTTTAAGAATCAAGTGCATGAACACTACAAAACAGCACATCCACGATTTATGTCTGTCTATGTATCTTTCTATATACCTACCTATATATTTATCTATTTATCTATCTATCTATCTATCTATCAGGCTATAGTTCATCCTGACGTTGGACAAGGCCCTCCTCATAATATTTATATTATCTTCTTCTCTAGCTATCCTCGTCCTATCTATAGTATCTATCACTTGTTATTTCTCTATTTCTATCATTTTTCGCCACTTGATGGGAAGGGGGGGGGGGAGGGGTATCTCCGACACTTTTGAATGGATAATGTTAATCAGTCACCAGACCTGTATAGTAGGCCAAGTAAAAAAGCAAATAGGTCTATGCCCATAGCGTGAGAGTAAGGAACTAGATTTCAATCACTCAACTTTTAATCAACCATTAAAGAATGATATGGATATTTTGATCTAATTGGTTTAGTATGAACCACCCCCTGGAGACAATCCTTCCGCATATGCGAGATTTAAAGACCCTCTGCATCCACATCTATCTATAAAGCACCAGTATCTATGTGACCCTAATGAATTGCATTTGGAGACAGACCTGACTATAAGGCTCGTTCATATAATGACGCGGCAAAACCTTGGCGTTTTTTTATGATGACGTAAAGTGTACATTGAACTCTGTGGCATTGACGTTTGATCTATACAGTCAATATATTTCTTGTCATACATGTGTTTTTGTTTATATGAAGAAATATTATGAGTCATCTTTTTCAGAGGACATTTTATTTATTCTATGATATTGCGCCACACTCGCATAACAAAGAATGAGAAAGCTTAGTAATTTGTTTCTTCACATTTTCGAGTAACCCGACCCTCAACATCTTTTATAGAGTATCATTATCGTTTTGGATCCAATAGAATTGAATTTAGAGACATACCTGACTATAAGGCTCGTTCAGGTATGATGAGGAAAAACCTCGGCGGTTTTTCCATTTCATGATGAATTAAAGTGTACATGGGTCTGCACATCTATATATGTGGCATTAGCATTTGGTCTAAACAATTAGGATAAGTCTTGTCATACATGTATTTCAAATTTGAAGAAATTTTGTCTCTCCCTACAGTTGTAATAAGTGTGCAGCTGGCAATTATACTAACATTAATTGCAGGACCCGCATAAATAGTGATTACCCCTGTCATCCTAACATCACGGTATCATTTATCTATCATTACCTTAATGGGGAAGGATTCGGCAAAGACTCTTAGCATGATGAGTGAGTAGAAAATGTTGCTAGGGTAAGATTAATTAGTTTGGAAAGTATAAGTCCAGGTAAATAAACGTGATGAAAATTTGTGCAGAGTAGAAAGTGTTTTACTATTAAATCAATATAAGAATGGAAGTTTAAGAATTGAATCAATTCATCATTTTCAATACGAATACATATTACTTGAAAAATCCTGAAAATTATGTTGATGTTTTGGTATCACTATAAAATAAGTACAGTATGTGTTTTTGTCAGCGGTAGAATAAAATTGATTTTTTTTGAAGCCGTAAATTAGCTGAATTCAACATTTTGAGACGACAGATAGCAGACTTATTTCAATACAAATCGAAGTCAAACAATTTTACATAGAAAGTAAGATAAAATATTGGACTGCTGCTTGAAATGACATAATACGAAATGTAAATGATGAAAATGACACAAATTATCGAATAAACTACTGAGAACAAAAATTGAAGCATCACAAATTGAAAAACATGATCGCCTATAAATAAGGGAAGAAAATGAGCACTGCAAGTCGAGAAAAAGATGTGAAAAAAATTGTCTATCAAATAGAAAATGAAAACAAAATAATAAGATGCTGACAATAAGTTTTGTTTAAAATAACATGGCTGTCATATTTGCGTTTTATTGCGGATTTTCAATCAATAATTTTCTTATTGGACTTCTGAGGAAATTGTATAAGAATTCAAACAATTGCAATAGCAAAAGAAAAATGATTGATGTAACAAACGAAAAAAATATAAATTGTATGTTAAAAAAACAGCAACGATAGGAAATAAAAATTAAGAAGCAGTTCAGCTTGAAGAAGAAGAACCAGAAGGAGAAGGAGAAGGAGTAGAAGAAGTAGAAGAAGTATAAAAAGAAGAATTAGACGAAGAAAAACACTAAGCATAAGTAAAAGAAGAATTAAATATGGAAGGGAGAAATAAGTAAAGAAAATAAAGACGAAGGAAACGATTTTCTTTATATGGAAGATGTATAGGAAGAATGAAATAATAATGAGAAGGAAAAGAAGTAGAAGAAGAAAATAGAAGAGGATGATAAAGAAAGGGAAGATGATGATGGTTGATTATAATGATAAAGAAGAATAAGAAGAACAAGAATAAGAAGAACAAGAAGAAGAAGAAAAAGAGAAAGAAGATCCGAATGATTATAATATTATAAATAAGTAGTAGAAGAAGGAAATAATATGAATGAAGTTAGAAGAGGAAAAAGCGAAGAAAAACAAATCTAAAGTAAAGGACAATTGAAATAATGCAACTGATGCTTGAAGAAAAATCCAATATATAGACAAAATGAGAAAACAGGCTTTCTTTTAATATGGTAGACACGCAGCAATAAGTTTGAAAGAAGAAGACGAATTAATAAAATAGAGATAAGTAGGCAGAAAGCTACGATTGGCTTCAATAATGAGATACAAACTTGTTCAAAATCAACAATGAAAGTGAGTAAAAACTAATCACTATTAAGATATATTTTATATTCCAATCCAATCCAATTCAGAAATTTAATAAAGCGCCAATATGTACATGTAATTGCCTAATCAAAGGCGCTGATGAGATTCCAACAAAAAGTCATTTTGTTGTGATACATAAGTGCATCGAACGGGGTGATGCTAAACAATGAATCAGTCCGCCCAGTAGTTTGAAGCACAATCAGCAACTAAATCGAAATCCTTTATCCAACCAATCTAATACAAATCAAGCATTGAAGTGAACTAGAGCAAAATTCGCCTCTTTTCTATGAACAAGAATGTTGAGCAGCCGTGTTTAAGAAGGAAGTCAGTGATTGTGAAGCTGTGTAGATTAAACAAAGATTTACCAGACTTTTCTTTTTTAAATTAATGACTACTCGGAAAAACTGTTCTATTACATTTCAGAAAGTGGTGAATGTCGCCAGTATGGCTTGAGTTGAAAACATGCAGAAACAGTTAATCATTTAATACAGACTGTTGTTTTTGAAAATTAAAAGGTAACTGAGTTGTTCTGTCAATATAACCCAGTTTGATTGTAATCGTATCATTTTTTAAATAATTGTTACTCACATCTAATAATATAGTTACAATTATTTTTTAATATTATTGACGAGAGGGAACATGCTTCAATACTAAATATATACATGTTTAGATTTGATGGTCCCAACATGTATATATCTGTTCCATTCATTTAACATTAATTTCTTCACATAACCCGAGCGAGATAACTTTCTAAAAACTACTCAAGAGCAATTCCAGTACCTCATTCTAAATCCGATATAAAGCGTGTTAATATAACATAACACGTCATTGTAATGTTCCTAAGTTTCGATATGTGATAGACAGAACTATTTAAATTGTCTTAAGATGATTTTTTGAAAGCAGTAGCAATCGTGGCATCAAGGCATTTTTGTGAACATGTTTGAGTTATTTGTACATTCAATAATTTAAATAGGGTGAACAATTCATCCTAATGGATAAAGCTTGTTTCCACAGAGGTTCACTGTTATCATAGAAACACATGGCATTAATGATACATGAAGAAGAATGATAGGAACAATTAATTACATTTTACAATCATAATGAAGTCAAATCATACGAAAAAAGATACATAATGAATAAAGCACAGTAGAGAAGAAATACAAAAAGGAATAACATTTCTTACCATTCTGAATGTGTTTGGAAGTAGCGGTAGTTCGTTAGAGACCAACTCTCATCCAGGCCTTTATGACGTCACCTCAATAATCAAGACACCGATTAGTTCATCTCGTGAATTAAAAAAATAAAAATAAAAAACTAGCACCAAAAAGCGACGTGGCAGCAAAAGTGTCCTCCCCTGGTATCTATACGCCGTGCAAGAGGAAGAAACAACGAAAAGAGGAACAAGCTTGAGGAGCTTCCGACGTTTCTGCTGATGCGAGAGAATGTTTCGCTGATGCCTAAGAACCGCTAAGTGGATGATAGAAGCGTTGGGAAGACTCTCTTCGTCAAAACATTGTTGTATTGTAATTCCCTTTCCGAAATAAAAGTGCGAAACGCCACCTAGAGAACGATGCTATAGATGTTCACTTGGTAAACGCAAATCCCCCTTCTGCTGGTAGATAAGGGATGCGCAACCCATAAATGAGTTTATCCAATGGAGGGGCTGGGCTCACGCGTGCGTTTGATAAACGTGCGAGCATCTAAAGATAAATATGCCTTACACAGTAGTTGGCCATCTGGATTAATGAGGAGGGAATTCCACAAAATGATATATCCATTTTAAACCCAGCATCCTTCCCCCACCTCTCTTAGCATATTTCTCATAATGTTAAGATGTTTGATGGATTGATGTGGAATGCAATTGGAATAAGGAATTGTGTATTCAATCTAGATTATATATTGCTTATCCTCCCCCTAGTTCTCTTCCAATGTCGACTTTGTAATGACCTTTAGAATTCTCCGTCAGAATCCTCCGTTTCGACCTACATACAATGTACATGTTCATTTCTATTGGACCCAGTTATTGTTGTTACGTCACTGAATGAGCCTCTTTTTAAAACCACATAGTAGTAAGTGTCCATGTGTATTGCATTATAATTCGCCGACACCTGATTTGGTTGAATTAACGTGTCTGCGTGTGAAGCGGCGAACTGGTGGTCCCACCGGAAAATAACACCATTTTGCAAACATATAGCGAGGCCGAGGAAAATTTGATATTATGTAATTATTAATTAAATATGTATTGTATATATGTAAAGCTTTAAATGCATCGTTAAACAATGTTAAATCTGAGATGCATGGCCCTACGTGTTATCAGTGTCTGCGATATTGTGTAAAATTGTAACCCTAAAAATATTGCGCTTCAAAATGATCATGAAGTGCCTCAAAAAAGTTAAAATCTTTGAGTGACCGGTTTTACTCATTTTCCCCAAAGGAATGTAGTGTTATAAAACCGTTAGTAAAACGAAAAATGAAACTTCGATTTCCAATCATAAATATCTTGATAATCAGACAGGCAATCGGCTTGTAAAAGTCATGGGATTCCTGGCTGACTTAAAGGTTTTTGATTATGATTGCAGCATGAGCTGAATCCAGGATCTTGTTTCAGAATCTGAGGCAATGTTACCGAATCACTTTAATATGTGAACAAATCTAAGCAGGCAAACAAAAACAAGTTAAAAGAGACCTTAAAGATAAACTTTAGTACTGGTAATGCGATTGCATTGTGAAAGAAAAGGTGTGGAAAGGATCAGAAACAGTTGATCATGTAGCATGTAAGTATTGATGTGCACTGCAAGGTTCTGGAGTCATCAAAATCATAATAAATTTGACCGAGTCTTGGTAAAGTAACAAGCACTCACATAGAAAGCTATATATGGGACAACACACATGGTGTCGGGGCTAGTACTACCTTGATTTCCTTGTCTTTCTATACTCATTACTCAGCCAGTATACATTTTCTTCCAAAATTGTTAGGCACATGTCATTTATTTGTAATCTTGAACATTCAGTGTAAGTTTCGTGTGATTCTGTGAGAATTATTATTTTTTTTTTACCAGTACTGGAGTTTATCTTTAATGATTACAGCCTATTTGTCTCTCTGTCCATTAGATATTATCGTCATGATATGATAATAACTGGCTAAATCGGGCGGGGGGGGGGGGGGGGATCTTGAAAGATAGAATCGCCGAAAAGGGGATACTTTACAATTACAATCTTATAACAAAAATGATTATAATTTCCAAAAATATGGTTATTGTCGTATTTCCGGTTTGATATCGTGCGCTGTCAGCTCTATGCCCCACTTCCAAAATGCTTTTTAAAATTAGGCACTGTTTTCCGCGCACAGCTTCGAAAATAAAGGGATACTTTTTTTATTACTGTTTTTATCACGTAAACGACAATCCGGAGATTTTGTCTGTATGTTTTTTCGTCCAATTTTATCAATGTAACCTATTTTGCGTACCCTTTTCAATCTATTTCGCATGTTTTTCTCGTGTTGCAATGTGTGTGGATATTGTAGGCCTATTTTACTTGCACTGTAAAATCAGCATCTATTTGCCAGTCATGTTTCAATAAACCCTAATTGAAGTGAAATGAATTGAATTGTATTTGTTCGTTTATTGTTTATTTGTTTGTTTTACTTGCCTTATTTCGTTCTGATCATTTGCAAGTTGATTATGTAGTGCTATTTACGGTCGGTGTCATTCTTCATTTTTCTCGGAATTTAACCAAAAATACATTATGACCGAACAAGTAAAGAACACAGTTCAAGCATGTTAAAATTACAATAAATACTATTTTTGTTTACGAAATAAAATCTGGGCTTGCTTACTTCTGGCAAAACTCAACCTTGGATAATTATGCAAAATACAAGATCAACTCAACAATATATTTCCTCTTTTTGCGGGAATACAAGTCATCTCCGTGCGAGTGAATTTATTTTCTTCAAGGCTTGAAATTCGAGCCGGCCAATATTTCGATTTTCTACCCATATACCTCACCGATTCACATAGCGTCATGCGTTGGAGTCCGTCTTCTCAAAGTAGTTTTGAATTCTACCCCGAAATCTATGTTTATTAGATCAAACCACTTCTCCACCGCTGGAGGAGGGGGAAGAGGAAGAGGCAGGGGAGGGGCTTTGAATGTGACATATCAATGGAGGTGACTATTAAAGGCCCATCTACACAAACTTAGTGTTTAGTCGGTGTAAGACCTCCCCCTCTTCCACGCTCAGTAAAAATAACATGAATTAGATTACTAGCTAGCTAACTAATTAACTAACTAAATTAACGAATAAATTAATAAATTAATAAGTAAATGAATTGAATGAATGCATAAATCAATCAATCAATAATGAATGAATAGATATCATTTTCGCAATTCTTATTTATCAGTGGCAACATGTGGTGATGGACTGGTGTTTCCAATTGCAAAGCGTTAGGGATATCAACTGCCGTCCATGTAATGTACACATCGCCGTCGTGGTAGCCCCCTCCCCCTTTACCTGCCCCCTTGTATTAATGTCTGCGTACGCCATTTGTGACGCGGAATGACGTCCCGAGTGCGTGTTCGTCGTCGTTGCGCGCAACAAGTGGAAGTTAAAACAAAGAAGAGGTCGGCCGGGTGAGATGGGCGATCGATTAACAAGTATCGGCGCCCTATTTTCCACTTCTCGTGCTGTGTATCGTGTGGGAGCCTTGGGGTTGGTATGTAATGTACCTCACGTAGAGACGGACAGTGCCGGGATCGGAGATTTGGCCAGAACTGGGAGGACAAATGCTCACGCGGCGCCACTATTCCAAATATTCTGTCCTGATATAACATAAGCTGTATTCTTTTGGTTACAGTCTCTATTTTTAACAGCAAGACTAAGTTTGATTTATCTGGGTTAATCCCTAGTCTAGTAAATGCACTGCCGGACACGGATTAAATACTTGGAAGGGGCGTTGGAAGCTTAAAGCCCTTCTATAATGTTGGGAGCCCCACAAATGTGATGGCAACATTTTAATTAAATTGTATCATACTGTAAAAGAGTATGTCATTTACGACTCAGTTCTGCAATGATGCTCAACACAAATATGTTCGAAGTTGACTATTGATGAAAGAATACACAATTTAGGTTTTCTGTCATTGTACAACAGAAAATTGTGTATTCTTTTATCAATATTTGTCTTCAAACACACATTTGGGGTAAATCTTCCTTACAAAAATGAAATCTTCTTTCGCATTATGATATGATTTAAGTTAAACGTTGCCATCAAATTGTTGTCGAATTAGGGGCTCCCAACACTTTAGAGGGGCTTTAAAATAATTTTGGGAAGGCATATTAAAGCGCTTTTCGTTAAATAGAGTAGACATTAACGCTATCAAAGTTGAATCCACCCTAAAAAGATAATTTCAGACGCTTTTTTAGATTCCACCATCATTTTGGAATGGTTTCAACTCCAAACTGTGTGATTTGTAACATGACTCATAAATTATTGGATTTCTTCCTCCGCACCAAAAGAGTCGATAGAGGGCTGCGGGCAAAATACTTATGAAACCGGCTTTGAATAGAGAGAACTGGGCCCTTTTTAATAAAAATTGTTATTCAAGGAATTCATCTCTACCTGTACAGAAGGTGGAGAGTGGCAAAATAGTCTAATAACTTGTTAAAGGACATTGGCGCCGCGATGGGACTCGAACCTACTAAAACCATGTGATTCACAATCCAAAGAGGTATATCCACTAGACCACTGAGATATGCTGATAGAGTGATTGCCTGATTATACATGTAGGATGAGTCAGGTTAGGATGCTACACACAAAACACGATTGCAGAGACTTTCAACCAAATCTACCTAAGATAATTTTAATTATTTATGTGATATGGATCATATTATAATAATGTTTCAATGCTCTTTTTATACAATGCACGCAAACGAATAATCACACTGTGCCACAGTGTATGTATCATGGCACCGTGAAGTTCCATCTAATGTAAGTTAACATTTAATATTTCTTAAATCTTAAAGGCACACTGTCCTACTTGTAGCTACTTGCTCCCTCTATATAGAAAACTTCCCAAATCGGTGCCTTTTGGTCCCCCATGATCCTCTTTTTCTTATGTTAAATGAGAGCTGAGTTAATGAGATAGGCCTAGCCACCTGTCACAGTGACCTCGATGGCTCGCTGTGTGGTCTAATCCCTTCTAGCTGCAGTAGTAACGCCTACCTTTAAGTATGTTGAATATTAATTTAAAATATTTGTATGCGCCTTGAACATCTCTAGAGACGGATATGCTGCGCTTCATAAATATTGTTATTATTATTATTGTCATATTACAACATGAAAAATGACATAATGATATTACGTAATCCGAAATTGAGATCTAAGGGCATTATAACGGATACTGAAACTGCCCTTTATAAGTTGATTTTGTGAAAAATTTCGGAAACATGTTCAATCAAGGTTTTTCCTACATTAAAGGTATTATTATCCAACCGAAATTCATCGCGTGTTAACCGACAAACTTCGTCTTTGTCAAAGCAATTAGAAAGGAAGGCTTTGTTATCCAGCTGTTTCCGTAGATGATACTTAAATTCCCCAATGCCTTATTAGTGCTTCTTAATTCGGGC